ACAAAAAATCATATCTTTTAGTGAAGTATTTTAATAAACTAAAATAATGATTTGTCCATGAATGTATTATTTGTTTTAAATAATCCATGTGCAAAGTGATTTTCATGCTAAGATTAAGAATACTTTTCTTGATCTAAAAATCTCAAATTTCCTTTGTGTAATCCCTAAAACCTCCTAAATACATTTAAAGCGTTTGTTTTCTGTAAAATTTTATATTTTATCCGTTATTTTCTCTACCCTATCTCTAAACGGGATCGGTCAAATGTCCAACCTCATAATCACCAAAAAAAAATATAAATAAATCTAAATTACCCTTTTTTCTTTCTAGAATGACTTCAAATTGTAAACATGAAACTTCATTCCTTTATCCTATGTAGCTTTAAGCTTGTAACAGCATACATGTATTTATAATTTTTTTACTGTTTTATTGCCCTTTGAATTGCGTCTAACAATTATCCGCGCCACTATAAGTTGTAAATCACTCGGAAAAATGTGCAGCTTATGTACATTACATCATTGAATTACATTATCCACGAGTTGCTCACGTGTGCCCCATGAAATATTTTTACCTAATTTAATTAAATTTTACATAATCTAATCTTAACTAACCTAAAAAGATCCTTATTTTTATATTTTAGTTACTTGTATAATAATAAAGAATAAACATGAAAAACAAGATATAAAGTATTTACCCAATCTTTTTATTTGCTGTCAACTGTCGATGAAAGTTAACCCTAGTTTTTTTATACTAATGGTAGTATTGCATTAAATAATTCTTATTTAATTAAATCTTTCAATATGGGGTCGGTCAATGTGACAACCTCATAACCATTTTGTGCTTGTTATAGTTTTCATGCTATAATTTTAAATTAGTTAGCAAATGTTAACGAAATTTGGCAGTAAATATTAAAATGCTTTCATATGCAAAATACCAAAATATGACATAAGGTTTATGATAAAATGTTTTTCTCATGCCTTTTTTCTTTTCACATCTTGCCAATCTATCATGCAAAG